GTGGGATAGGAAAAGATTTTCAGTGTTCTTGAGGTCTTGGCTCTGCTGTGATGAGAAATGAGTAAATATGGGTTTGCCAGGATGCTTTGGTCCTCCTAGAGAGAAGGTGGGGGGCAGGTGTCTCTGTGGAGCAGAAGAACGTTCTTGCAAATACTGAGCCTACATTAAAAAAAGCTGAAGCTGTTGGGAGATGGGAAGCAAGGTGTCTGAGCCCTTGGACCTGGGCAAGGCTTGAAGTTCAAACATGAGCTGGGGAAGGGAGTGGAGTCTCCATCCCTGCCATCCATCCCAGACAGATTTGTGTGGGATGACACAAGCCCTGCCAGGCACATGGGTGTGTTTGGGATGGGGTGGGTGTGATTGGAGTGTGCAGATACTTACACTTCACTGCTGTGAAATAAAGATATGTTGATGAGAGCAGCAGGAGAAAGATTAGGAAATCAAGCTCTAATCAAATGTACCATGTGATTGGGGTAACTTCTCTGGGATGTCCTTGGTGCAATGCCCTAAGGCAAGGGAGCTTCCCTGTTTCTCCATGGGTCCAAAGCAAAGCATGTCTTGTAAGGCAGCAGGGCAAGCTGCCAAGTCAGAACAAGTGATCCAGCAGGTACTGAGCTAATGTCTCTGCTTCCACGTTCCCCAGGGACCAGTGTGCACCAACTTGGGTCTCAAGCCTGGCCAGCGCCTCACTGTCAAGGGGAAAATTGCACCAAATGCCAAGAGGTGAGTTGTGCTGTGCTGCCCAGGCACGGCCAGGGCACCGCTCTGAGGGGTCTGCAAAAAGTGGTGGCAAAAGGACTCTGTCTCTTGGTAGAAGAGGAGAAGGGGTTAACAGCAGCAGTGCTTCCAGTGAGTCAACACCTAATGCACATTGCAGACACAGTACTGCCAAGGGGCTAAGCCAAAGCAGATGCGAAGTTCCAACTGCACACGCTGGCAGAAACCACATCCTTCTAGTGCAGGGTAAAGGAAATGGAAGCTGTGTCTATACTGAAATTTGGTTTGAGACCATCTGCTCCACCACATCCTCTCCCCTGCACGAAGGTGGCCAGGAGTAGGGACACTTATGGTGCCCCAGTGGATTTGGTGCTCTCACATGATGGTAGGGAAAGAAGGAAGAAAGGTGGAGAGCAGGCAGGTGGGCTGAAGTGAAAATGTACCCCTAAATGTGCAGGGATTGGGGTGGCTGGGTTTCCCAGCGAAGCCTCTGCAGCAGCCCCCAGCCCTTGGGCAGGGGGGGCCCTTTGCAGGCAAGGTGGGGCCCGTAGCTGCTGTACCAGAACTAGCGGTGTTCCAGGAAACATGTCCCAGCTCTTCCCAGTGCCTTTGAAGTTTGATACTGTCTGAGTGAAGCCTCCCAGGCTTTCTCTTGCCAACTAATATGCCTCTTCTCATCTGGGTGAGAGGCCTGAAGGCAAGGTGGACACTAGGCTAGGAAACTTCCTCCCACTGCTGTTGCAGATACTTTGGGATAGCTAATGACATGGTAATTATTTCAGCTGCCTGCAGGATGGGGAGAAGGCAGTGGCTGTCAGGCAGGATGCAGCACTAGCTAACTGTTCAAGACTGAAAGGAAATCTATGGAAACCAACTGACTCCTTGGGAATTGGTTTGGGTGTATGATAACTCTGTTCAGGGCACTGTCTATGAACCATTCTCTTGTTAAAAGCTTTGAGGAAGTGATGTCTCTCCCCGGGATGGCACTCTGGAGCCTGTCACTCCAGAAAAGTGCCCCTTACTGCCACAACACCACCTTTTAAGGGAAGCTGTATAATTTAGCAAAGGGTTTCTCTTAGGTTACCCTCAGCTGGGCTTGAGGAAACAGACCCAGGGGTGCTCATGGTAATGAGAAACATGCTACCATAGTATTGACTTTTTCTTTTTTTTTAGCTGTATTGATGCCTGCTTTTTTTTTCTCTGCAGCTTTGTGATGAATCTGGGCAAGGATGCTACCCTCCTCGGACTTCACTTCAATCCCCGTTTTGATGCTCATGGCGATGTGAACACCATTGTGTGCAACTCCAAGAAGGTGGAAGAGTGGGGTGCAGAGCACAGGGAGGCTGTCTTTCCTTTCCAGAAGGGGGGCACAGCAGAGGTGAGGCATGCATATTTATATATATACACACTCTCTGTACATGCTCTGGTGAAGGGAGGGTGTTTGGCACAGGACACCCAGCTGCAAGGGCTATCTGTACAGGAGGTGGCTGGCTTCTCCTGCTTGGCCAGTGCCACCACTCAGGGCTCTGAGCTCTGATGGAGGGTGGGGATCAAATGTTTAAGCTCCATCTGGCTCAAAGATGTTGCTACTGAACAGAGCAGAAAATGGGCATCTCTTGGGAGACCAGAATAACATTCCTGCTGTTGATGAGCAGGTTATTCTACTGAGCTTGTTCACCCTGTGAAGCAGAGGGTGGCACAGCAGTGCTGCAGAGGCTCAAGGAAACTTTCTCTAACTTTTCCATTTGCCTTGCAGATCACTTTTAGCGTCAACCAAAATGATGTGACAGTCCACCTGCCAGGCCACCAGTTCACGTTCCCTAACCGGCTTAACCTCTCTGTCTTTGACTACTTTGATACACAAGGGGACTTCACACTCCAGTCCCTCAGCTGGGAATAACTTCCTCTGACACCTCCATCTCAAAGATACAGAAAAAACAATCAATAAATATGAGCTTTGGTGTACTAAGTCTCAAAATCTAATCTGTTAATTGCGAGTCCTCATGGCTTGGGCATCTTACTGGGAGTGGGTGGGGAGAGGTAGCCAGAGTTGCTTGAGTACCATAAGTGGATGCAATTCTCCCAGCCTTGGTCCTTGGAAGTCATGGATGGAGAAGAGGATGAACGTTAAAAGCCTGGGAACACAGAAGGTTAAATGTCCAAGGAGAGTTGTGGCAAGAGGCATTGGGGCTAATTGTCACTCAGGGGAGAGTAAAAGCATCCTTTAAACGAGGTCACAAGCTGTTGAGGTCTAGGCTGACACCTTACACTGCCTGAATAAATTAACTCTACCTAAACTAAGCACTCCTGGCTGACATCAGACAGCATTGAGTGGCTGTGTTAGCTGAGCCTAGTGGGGCATGGGGTGAGGGGAAAGTCCTCCACTGTGCTAGTTTTGGCTGCAGCCTTCTGTAGAGGCTGTTCCTACTCCTATGTGTGCTTGGGACCTCTTGCTGCTGCATGGAGACAGTAGAAAAGCTGCCTTGCTGGGTGTGGCAGAGCATGTGGAGTTCCTCATCCAAATCCTTTCTTCAGTAAGTGCAGGAGCACAAAGTGTTGTGCTGTGGCACAGGAAGGCAGTAATGTGGAGGTGTCTGGTTTTATTCTGCCCCTTGTGCTTTGCCTGTTCCATCCACAGCTGAGGGAGGCAGCAATGTCCAGCTGGAGTGTGGGATGCTAAGGATGTGTGCTCTATGCTTTTGTTCCCCTTTTACTTGGTCCACATGAACCCGAGCACTTCTCAGTCTAAACTGAGGCTGGACTGTGAGGAGTTTGGGCAGTCAGGCATGTTTGATGTTGCTGCAGAGCTGCCTCGGGGTCTCTCTCAGTCTGATGCTGCCCTGGTGCTGCTGCTGAGCATGCTGTGCCTGCTGGGTGGAGGAAAGGTGGGCCCTGCCCCATCCACAGTGCACAGCAGTCACCAGGTCGGTCTGGGATGAAAGGCTTGGCCACAAGCAACACAAAGCACTAACAATTTGATGTACTACAGCATTCCCTGCAGGCCTGGCTGGGCTAATTCCTCACATTAAGCAGTCTCCAGAGCAGCTGGAGAACAGGGACTTTCCCCTGCAGCAGCTGTACCTGTCACTCTTATTTCATAATTCATGAGGCTGTGCCAGGTCCTGTGTCCTGGGTACCCATGCAGAGAGGCTGGGCTGCTAGGAATTGTGAGTCTGAGGAGGGATAAGATTGTGAGGAGGAGGGATAAGATAAGAGCTTAGCAGAAAGGCAGGGGCACTTGGGGCATACAAACAACTTGAGGCTCTGAAGCTGGATCTCTCTTGAAGTCCTGTGGTACCCAAAGCCCATCTGCTTTGGATGATCACATCACACTCTTTTTAGGGCTACATCTACAATTGTAAACATGACATCTAGCATTGCCACCCTGCACACTGGCATGGCAGGGAACCGCATAGCTTGGGGACTCTCCCCATGGCCTGGTAAGGATTAAGCCTTCCTTCCTGGAGAAGAGAGGTTCAGCAGTATGGAAATGAATCCTGCTAGGCTAGATAGTCTCAAGGCAAGAGGCCTGGCTCAGTTTGCACAGTGGTGTTGACACAGTCTGGCAGACTGAGGTACATTTGGTGGGCCAGAGAACTGGGTATTTCCCTCAACCACAGCAGAGCCGTGGTGCTGGTGAGGATGCCATGAACTGTCATGATGGACACAGAGGAGAGCTCTCTCCTTGCAGCTTCCTCTGCTGGCTGATCTTGAAAGCTGAGCAAATGTACTGGACTGGGCTAGGGAATCTCACAATGCCTCTTAATTGCACTTAGCAATATTTCTATAGATTCTTCTAAGATTTTTCTGTGATGGTTTCTTGAAGAGAGCTCAGTGGTAGCTTTACCACAGGAGTAGGAACCTTAGTGAGGTCTCCTGCTAGCGTGGCTGTTTCTTGCAGTGACTCACTGTTCTTGTGAAACCTATGACTCACTGTTGTCCTGACTTTGTTATGGCTTGGCCCGTTGCTAGCAAGGAGATGAGGGGTGGCAAAGGTTCCCCAGATGTATAATTTAGACATATCGAAGCTGACTGCTCCCTTCCACCCACTCCCCAGCCTTGTGCAAGGTGGAGGCTGGTGTGTGAGAGCTGAAGGATCTAAGGACGGAGTCAGGATCCCTGAGACAAGCACTCTGCCCGCCCAGCTGAGCAGGATGAGCAGCCATGCAAAGGGGAAAGCACTGCAACAGCATTGATGGAAAACACTGCATGCTGGCATGGAAGGTGACACACTTTTATTTCTCAACATGACCCCAGCTGAAGGTCGGATGTCCCCAGCTTGCTCACTGCTCTCTTTCCCTCACAGACCCCGAGAACTCCCTGAAAGCCAGGGGGCTGCTGTGCCTTCCCGCAGCCTGCTGAGAGGGTGCCGCAGGCCGCGCCTCGCCCGTCCCAGTGCGGCCACGGCGCCGGCGGTAGCCACTGGCAAGCAGGGTGTAGAGGAAGGGGTTGACACAGCTGTTGCCATAGGCCAGGCAGGTGACACCGAAGTTAAGGTAGGCCTGGGCAGTGGGGCCGATGCCCAGCCCCTCTCCCTGGTACAGCCCGGCCAGTTGCCAGGCCCAGAAGGGGAGGAAGCAGGCCCAGTAGGCCACCACGATGGCAGAGATCCTGGAGAGGAGGCGCCGCGCAGGAGCCCGGCCGGCCGCCGGCAGCCCCAGGCGCCAGGCTGAGGACTGGTACACCCGAGCCAGGCGGGTGTAGACGATGCCCAGCACGGCTCCGGGTGCCAGGACGCTGGTGGTGAACAGCACCGTCAGGTAGAGCCGGAAAGCCGACGGCGTCCAGGTGGGGACGCAGATGCGCTTTTGGGGGCCGTCCCCCTCCCGCAGCTGAGTCATCACCATCATGGGGGCCGTGAGCAGGAGCGAGAGGAGCCAGAGGATGGCGCTGGCCAGTCTGCGGTAGGCGTTGCTGGCCCGCCGGGCCCGCAGAGGCTTGACCACCGCCCAGTACCTCTCCAGGCTCATGGCTGTCAGGAGGAAGATGCTGGCATGCATGGTGAGGAGGTCCAGGCTGAGCAAAAGCCTGCAACCCACATCCCCAAAGAACCAGTCGTGGGCAAAGTAGGTGCAAACCACAAAGGGGATGGTGGAAAGGTACAGGAGGTCAGCCAGGGCAAGGTTGATCATGTAGACCCCCAAGGAGCCTGCTGAGCAGCCTGCCACCCTGCCAGAGGCCACTGCCACTGTGTAGATGTTCCCCACCATCCCAGTGAGGCACATGACCAGCAGCACTGCACCCAGCGGCCCTGTGACCAGGCTGTCCCCACCCAGGACATTGCTGTCATCACCCCCACCATTGCTTTCCTCCAAGAAACTGCCACCCTTGGGATCCTCTCTAGGACTTGGACTGATGAGAGAAGTGTTGTAAGGCATCTTTGGGTAAGCTAAGCAAGAGCAAATCAAGCTCTCAGGGACCTGTTCCTTCCTCCTGCCTTCTGCCCTCACTGTAAGGGACACGTCTATCCTTAACAGCAAAACAGCCAAGGGAAGAATGGGGAGAGTTCATCAGACACAGACAGGGTGCTCCAGAGAAGTCTGTTCCTCACCTCCAACAGTCCAGTCCATTATGCTGATGTTGTCCATCACAAGCTCTGTCCAGTTGTTTTCCTCAACCATGAAAGAGCCAAGAAAGGGACACTGCCTTTTCCTTCAAGACCAATACATGCAAAGTAACCTCTGCCAGCCAGGAGGAAATGTCTATTTTCTTCGCTAGCCTTGTTGCTTCTCCAGAGTTTGCTGGGCCCACAGAAACAGTAGATGAACAAGTAGATTTCTGCTCCCAAGTCTGCCAGCTCAGCTCAGACAGACTTTGGAGAGGTGGGCCCTGCCCCACTGACCAACCCCCTGAGAGCTGCCTTACCACTGCATGGAGGAATGTGCCTGGCTCACAGCTTCACACACCGGTGTGAATACAGTTCCAAATTTATACTGGGCTTTTAGCCACTAGCTGAGGAGCCCCACTGGCTCCCTCCTCTTTCTGGCAGGCATGCTTTCTTCCCCCATATCTTCCTTTATCCTGCTCTGTCTTCCTCCTTGTTCTTGTTTCCCTTTCTTTTTCCCATTTCTCCTTTTACAGTTGTCCTCGTTTTACACAGGAGACAACTGAAAGACAAGACTCCATAATATGGCAGGGAGGATGGAAAGCATCATGCTGTGGCTTTAGAAGGGAAACATGGGCCAGCCCTGGAAGTGCAATAGGCAGGGAGCAACCACACAGCTGTCCCCAGCCAAGCCAGACTGACAGAACCTGTCCCCTGCTCCCTCCCAAGGACTTCAGGGCTCTTTGAGGTTTGGGTGTTGTGGATGCAGTCCCCAGTTCACAAGCAGGCCCACCAGATGGTAGGACCTCTTATGTTTTCTGTCCTGGCCCTTTTCCACCTTTGCCCTCAAGTCATCAGCAAGCTCCCAGAGACTCAAAGGACTGGATATTTTAGACTCGGTTTTTCCTTCCTCTCCACAAAGACCATCCTGCTCCTCCTCTAAGCTTTCCCCCTCCTTCCCTCGAAGCCCCGGGCAGCTGCCTGGCCTCAGAGCAGGGAGCAGAAGGCATTGCAGAGGCACCACCGCCTTCTAGCGAGCCACCATCGCACGACACCCGCGCCCGATGCTACCCGGCCCTTTCCTCGCCCACATCTGAGCCTCGCTGTCTCCAGGAAGACACGGTGGGACAGGATTTGCAGAGCAGAGACAGATGTGCCATACTACACGTACTCTGCTGTTAGTTTAGGGTTTCAGGCCGCTCCAGCCACACTCTTTTGCATCATCAGTGTATGAGCTTCATAGTGGCTGAGTCAAATGCCTCTGCTCATATCCAGCCGTGGTAATTCAACAGTAAATGGGAGGAGGAGGAGGCATCCCATCAGTATTCCCCACACTGTGCAATGACCAGTGGTTTTCAGGAAAATCATGCTCCAAACTAGGAGAGATCAGCAAAATGCAGTGAAAATATACTTTTAGGATGATATTTCCATTGCACCATGGTAGCAGGGTGAGTGATGCTTCTACTACGTCCACAAAGTCGATGCTCCCAACAGATTGTGGTGGTCTTGGCACAGAGTGGGGTCCCCAGAGGAGCAGAGGGGTGCTGTGAATCTGCCCATTTAGCTCTGATGGGAATAATCACAGTCCACATGCCCCAGGAAATACAATGAACAGCTATGGCTTTTTGTCTGATCGTCTGTACTTTTTTCTAAGAAACAACCTCATACCTCAGCAGTTAACATGTCAGCTAATTTAGGAAGTTAAAATAAATTACAATGGTATTTTTAAATTATTTCTTTAGGAGCTAATTAAAATACTGGTTGTCTCATCAATTCCATTTAGCTCCCCTTAACACATGAGATACCTTGTCTCACACTGCCTGCGTAAAACTGCAAACACATCAGATTCTACAGTCAGCAGCAGAACTCAGCTACCCCTTCCAGCACGTGAAGCACAGCTCTCCCAAGAGAGCTTTAAGATATGAGCTTTAAGACATGAATCACGGGTTGATTTAGTGTTTTAGGCTAACTCTTACTAATAGAACATGAACATATAGACATGTATGTGTGATGGACAAGATAAACATATGCAATGTGCAGGGCAGAATGAAAGTGCCAGTTCTTTGACATACAGGGAACGAGGGAGCAGAGATCCATGTATTACTATATTCACCATCAACCCTAGGCTCTAGTAGAGACATCAGACTCTGAACTCTATACACATTATCAGCTCCTCTCTGCAAGACCCAACCCCTCTCCATTGGTCTGATAGAGACTCAAGTTTGGCAGCTGGCATGAATATCCCTCACAGTATCTTCCCTAGGGCAGTATTCTGCCTCCATCACTTTTTGTTATGTGTGTGCATACACACATTATCCACATACCCAAATGTATATCCACATTATTTTTGAGATGATCTCTTAATCTTCTCTGAAGAATTTGGAGGAAGATCTGCACACAAATGTCATCTGAAGAAGCTTTCAAGCCCATACATGGCAGAAGAAAACAAGCCTCACATTTGGTTGTTAGGTTACATCTTTTAAGTGACCTTTCTCAACCACTGCACTAGCTGATCAAATATCTAGATGTTTCACATCTCTGTCACCATCAGGTATGATATTTCTTGTAAAGGAACAGGCTCTTTTAGTCCAGCAGCCCCTGTATCTCGCTGTGGTGCCTGGCTCCAGCCAGGCAGCTCTCGTCTCGTGTAAGGTGGGTGGCTGGCTGCGGGTTCATGCACAAGTGATGCTGGGTCTCACGTCCAACATAGTAAGTGCCAAAGTTTTCAAGGCCCAACTGACAGGCAAGACCTGTCAGCATCCAGTCAGATGACAGCAATTTAACAGGGACAGGTTCTACTGAGGATTCAGATGCACAAAATCTTGCACTCAAAAAGAAGCAGCTTAATCGGGCCCTCAAAAAAAAGTGGATATTCTATGAGGGCAAAAGTGCTCCAAAGGGTGCTCCAAGAGCACTGTTTCTCTGATGTCCATCTCCTCTCCTGTCCTGACAGCCACCCAATAGGACCAGGTAGAGTTCAGTCACAGTGAGATTCCTGCATGGCTTCCTAGGATTTAAACTTGAAGTAGGCTTCAACTGTAGTGAAAAGAAAAGGTGGTGCATTAGAGCAATACCCTGAATGGGAGTGGCAGGAGGGGAAGGAAACAGCATCCAGGCTCTTACTTGCATATTCCTGTGGTGTCATGGCCTGGTTGATGACACTAGTGAAGGCTCTGATCCACTCCAGCTGGTCAGTCTCTGTCTCGCAGGTGAAGAGGTATTCCCGGTCAGGGGTGACAATGGTGATGCCGTAGTGCCAAGAGAAGTTGCCCTGTGTCCCTGAAGGCAATCCCTTCTGGACACTATATCCATTCTCTCCACTGCCCACAAATACCTCACCCTTAGCAAACGCGTCCTGCACATCAGAAGGGAAAGACAGTGATTTATGATTTATGGAATCCCAGAAGAACAAGAGAATCATTACAGGGCACCTAAGGACAAGAGGAGAGTGTGTGAGGATTGGGGATGGTGCAGCAAAAGGTTTTGGAGCAAGTCAAGGAATTCAGAAGAGCAGCGAGCCTGTGCTCAAAGGCAGTAGTGAAAAGGAAAAAATAAGGGCATAAATCTCAAGAGGTCTGAGAGAGAAACTCATCTCCCTGTATCACCTTCCCATCACCACCTTTACACTGCTACTCTCCCTGTTCCCATTGTTTGCAGGCAGTGAAACAAACACAGAAAGCATGTGATGAACTAAAAGGGATGGAAAGGGGAAGACCTGGAGTCCATTCACAGCACAGGGAAGCCTGCAAGCCACCCTTCCTGCAGAGCACAGACTCTGTGTGCACTTTGACCCTGCCCTCAGCACCGCTGCTGCAGCTGCCGGCGGTCACATCTCCCTCTCACCAAAGGATCCTTGAAGTACATGAGCCTGCGGTGATCCAGCGTGAACCAGCGCTTCTTAAAAGCCTCTCTCTGCTGTGAAGGGAAGAGGTGACATGTGTGAGGGGACAGTGCCCTCTGCTGCGAGCAGTGCGAATGGGTACCCCAAACCCATCCCAACCGCTTGAAGCAAGCCCCTGCCTTAACAGCAACCTCCTCCTCGCCCTTTCTGAGCTGAGAGTGGGGGTCAGTATCTGGTGATTCACTCCCAGCTGCTGTCCCCAGCTCCTGAACTTCGCTGAAGGACCCCAGAGTTGAGACAGGAGAAATCTGGACACTAAATACCTGTAAGGTCATGCACACACAGACACATGCAGAGAGATCTGTCGCTCTGGGAGAAAGCAGGGACTCTGGCTTCATCTACTTTCACATGTGTCCTTCCCCTTCCTTTCATTCTCCCCTCCCTTGGTGCACACACACTCTTCCCACGGGTGTCTAAAGAGTCAGGGGGGAATGAGGAAACAGCAGGAGAAAAACATTGAAATAGGGAAAGCCAGTGGTGCTCTGGCAGGCCCCTGTTAAGGTTTTTTCTACCACAGCAGGCTCACCTTGGGACCAGTCTTCTCCATGTATCCCTCCTTCAAGAAGTTTCTCGTGAGACGATTTTTAATCTGACAAAATGGCAAGAGTAACATTCACTTAGCTGTGCCTCTTCGCTATTCATTTCCCTCCCCCACCCTTCTATTCCCCCAAATTCAGTCACCTTCTAAATTTACATTTCTCAAACTGCCTAGCTAGGCATCACTTCTGCCTCCAAAATGCCCAGCAGAGAGCAGCTATTTTCTGACCATCACAAGCCCTTTTAAAAACACCTTCTCATCCTTCTGTCTTTACCCTGCAATTTCCACTTCGGCACCTGGGGTTGTAACAGTAACTAATGAGCTCTTTTATCATGTAAGCAGTGGGAGACTTCAGTGCTGCCTTACCTCATTATCGCTGGCAATGGGAAATGCTACCTTCAGGTAATGGAACTGCACAGAGCGGATGGCGTTGAACCAGTCCACCACCTCCTGAGGATGGAACAGGACAGGACAGAAAGCTTAGCCAGAGCAACAGAGGGGCATCTAAATCCACCCAGCTGCACCCAGCCCTGTGTTAACTACAAACACAGTCAGCTCTCCCTCTGCAGCATCTCCCTCACATGCACACAGCCAGACAGCACGGTGCCCCATTCCCCACATGCACAGACAGCACATCTTCTGTAGAACTCCTCCCACACAAACCAACTCAGCCAGTGCTCCTGCCCTGCTCCCTGCAGCAAAACTCTCTCACAGATACACAAACACAGAGCCAGAACCCCCAACCTATTACCTACAGCAGCTCACACTCACACACCCCATCCTACCCATGCTTCATATTATTTATTATCATCAGCTTCTCAAAGCACCTCAATGGCTTTGCAGTGTTTGATGCTAAAACCAGATACCTTTCCACTTTCATGGTAGACAAATATATTCCGGGTCTTATTGTCTTTGAGGTAGGTGATCTGCAGGCCATTGGGGTTCCCAATCTTCTCTGGCTGGAATGTAGCATTGATGACATCTATTTTAACGTTGATTTTGGGTTCTTTAGCCTGAAAACAGAATGGCATTGACCATGCATGAGCAATCCTAGAGGAAAGAGATCTGAGCTACTGATTACGTGGGGTAAGGCAGGGTCAGAGGCCTGACCCAGGTAGAGAACCTTGTACTTGGCCTTTTTAAACCTTCTGAGGTTCATATCAGCCCACTTCTGGAGCTTGTCCAGGTTTCTTTGGATGGCATGTCCTGCTTCTCCCTACCCTGAGCCATTCCCTCCCTTGTGACAGCATTTTAGCTCTCGCCCCACTCATTTCAGAGAGATGAATGAGCAGGAAAGTAGCCCTCCTCAAAATCAACCAGAGAAAAAATTTGCCAATTCTTTGGCTCACAATGGGGTGAGGTTGGTTCCAGGAATGGTGCAGGATTACACATCCAGGCAAATAGATAGGAGTGAAGTGAAAGATCAGTCCTTTTCTCAGTAGTGAGGGAAGCACAAAGGGAGAGCACGAGGAAAAGTCACTCTGACAGTAGGAAGGGGACCCTTCTCCTTAGTGACATGTTTTGTTATTATCTCTGAGCTGGGATGAACAAGGCAACCCCAGAAACACGCGTAGGAAGTCAGAATATCTCTGTGACCCCGCTGCTCTGGGTGGAGCACACACTGAGGTGGGAGTTGACCACCATACTCACATCCTGCTTGGTGAAATACTTCAGACATCCCTCTCTCTCAGACAACAGGAACTTGCGGGGTAGGAACTGTCCGTTGTCTCGACCACGCTTCCAAAGGATGCCTTCCTTCACCCCTTAGAGCAGAAAAGCCACTTATAATAGCATTCCCCACAGGCATGGTAGGCACCAGAGAGCTGCATGCAGCCTGGGACCCAGCCACCCTTCTGGGACAAAGAACATGATGCACTATTGCTGAGAGTAAACACTTCAGATATTTCACCTCTGACTTACAACTAAAGATGGTGTGTTCCCATGTTTGCAGTGCAGATAAGCGCGCACCAAAAGACATTCCCAGATTCTTCCCAACTCCTAGTCCTGCTCCTACAACTACCTCTGACAGTGTAAGAGCTGTCCCTGTGAACTGGCAGACTCTGGTGTAGAACCAGAACTCTTCCCACTTGACTCTGCAGGCTCTTGGGCTCTATTGCCCTTTGTCACAGGACTGGCAGTGCCATTTCAAGGACAACTGCCCTGGTTAGAGGGTGTGGCATGCAGCAGGACAGATATGCATTATTGTAGATGTCTGTCTCCAACAAGACAACAAATGTCTTTGAAAAATGCCACCTGGTAACACCAGGCTTTTAAGCTACCTGTGGCAGTGCCAGTCTATGTTGTCCACAATTTGACACCCCAAAATGAAGCCCTGTAAGTACCACTTGGGTTCTCAGGAGTACTTGTGGGATTTGCAACACTGACATCTCATGATGCGCAGAAGTGTACAGCAAAGGCAACATGCAGGACGTTTTGATGCTGTGTTCTGCTCTTACCATCAAAATATGGCAGCTGTTTTCCCGGCTCAGTGAATTCTTTACGTTCATATTTGGCCCGTATCCACTGTTCTCTCAGCACTCTGTGGAGAGAGGGGACAGGTAGCTCAGAAACGAACTAGAGGAATTAGAGGAACAGAGAATTGCCCTTCCCCCTTTTCTTCTGTATGCAGCAACTTACTGGCAGTCATTGTAGGTTGGCTGGTAATAGTAAATAGGCATGTGAGCTTCATAGATGGCTTTAGTCACAGCATTCCCATGCTTGGACAGAAACTGCAGAGTTAGACAGAGAGTTAGTGCCTTGCCTTTGATGCAGACTCATGTTGGACCTTTTACTTCCTGACCCACTACAGGGTCAAATGCATATCAAACTCTAATGGAGCATTCTCTTTCCCCTCCATTGCAACATCCCAGCAGCGTGGCTGCAGGAAGGTGGGTCTCAAAGGTCTCATCTACTCTCAGACATGACAGAGTGCCATAAACGTCACTTCCGTAAGGCTGGGTGTGCACACATTCAGTGGATTTGCTGCCATGCCCCACATCTCCTGGAGAGTTCTACAACACCTCTGCAGTGGCATCTGGAAGCACATTCCAACCTCTTCCAAAGAGCAACAAGACACGGATTATTTTCTTTGGATCTCCAGAAAATATTTTCAGTCCCCTGAAGATTAGTGAGTTGAGGGGGCTGTAATGGGGAGAAGTCAAATTCTCATAAGTGCCACTTTTCTCAAGAGATTGTATTATATCTGGAAACTTTTCTTGGATAATGGAATTGCCCAAGATTTTCCCCTTGGACTGCGGAAATCAAAAGGAGACATTGAGGCAGAATGGTCTTAGCAAGTGGAAAACAAGTAATCTGAAGCAACAAAGACCCTAAGCCTTGGTAAAATACATTGCAAGAGCTTTGCATTTGCCATAAAGTAACAGGGCATGAGGAGACACACAAGGCAAGTGTATCCTCCCTGTCCCAGTGGGTTGTGGAGAGTTATCCCTGATTTTCATGAGTAGAAAAGAGACTGAATAAACCAGATTACATTCCAACTCTGTGAGGTCAAAGGACTAATTTTGCCAGGACACTGAGTGTATAGCCTAGTCCAAACCACCTGCCCTACCCATGGGGACAAAGATCTCACCTGCACCTGAGCAGCATCCCAGTAGTCCATCTTCAGGGATTTGACTTTGCTGATGCTAGGGATGTTGCGGTGAATTCCTGAACAGCTGAGGCATATAAACACACCCAAAGTAGAGGATGCCCAGTCAGGATCTGAGAATATGGAAAAGGATATAACTAGAAGCGGTGAATATCCCTGGGAGATGTCTCAGCCTCACCTGAGAATGTAGTCCTGAGAAACAGGGAGCTGATGACCACAGTTTCATCTGAGCTGAGTAATTAATGCCCAAGGCATGGATGCCAGTCAGGAGAAAACACAGCTATTGGTCCCTCATTCTCTGTTCAAATCACTTTGACTGAATTTTTAATGACCTGTATCTTGAAAAACCCCAAAGTGCTCTGTGAACTCACTTTGTGTAAAGGATCATCCAGAGGAAAATGAAACCACCTCTGGGAAAAGACTCCAGGAGTTGTTTAGCACATCACAGCAGACGCCTAACAGTGTTTAGCTCACAAAGTGGAAAACAACCTTGAATCTAAAACTCTCCTGGAATGATTAAACAGGGCAAAATTGTACTAATTTGCCCAATCTTAATTTGGCTTGGGTAGTACACTCCTTTTGGAGGTGTAAGATTGGTGTTTTTAGTAGCACATGTAGGACCTCAAACTGGGTACCCTTCTGAGAGGGCAAGCCCTTCAGTAAATGAAATTTCCTAGGCAACTGTGGCAGGTTGTCTGTTCAGAGCTGAGTCATGGCAGAGACAATGCCCTCCTGAATCATGCCTTCTTTCTGGAGAAGTTAGGATTTCACTGCGAGCTTTCCTGTCAGGTCCTGACTGGGCATGACCTTGATTTGCATTTGAGATCTGACATGACTACAACCCACTGTGCTGCAGCTATGGAGCCCCTGCTAATCTGGCACTCCCACATCCCTGTCCTTCCCACCAGTGCTATGGCAGCATCTTCTCCCTCCTCCCTTGCCAACCCACCTCAAGGGAGAGGAAACAAATACCCAGAGCGATGCGACCCCTTTCTCTCCACCCCAGGCTCCTGTGCAGTGCAGATAGCCAGCACTAAGCGACTGCTAGAGATCAGCCCCAGCTCCCTACTTCCAACCCTTCCTCCAGCATCCTTTAGGGACTCACCTGGCTTCCCGCAATCCGCACACAAAGAGTTCTCTGCTCTTTTCCACACTTCCTTCAGGGCCTTCATGTCCCGCTCGTTCCCTCCAGCCATCACCTCGGAACGGTATCCCTCCAGGCAGGACAGGACAGGGCCAGGAGGGCAGCTGCCTTCACCTTATGCACCTGCAGGCCAACCCACTGCGTTATCCAGGAGAGAAGGAGCCACCAGAGAGACAAGCTCCGGCAGCCAGAGGGAAAAGAGGAAGATTAAGGGTAAATGGAAAGGGCGGAGAGGCCTGTCGTGCACCTGAGCCGGCTGAGCACAGGCAGGGGCAAAGAGGCTGGAGGCTGAAGTGCACCCAGACTGTGCGTGAGGACTGAGGAGGAGGAGACCTGCCCCATGGGCGTGGAGGGAAGTGCAGCAACTAACCACAGAACTGGTTTTTCCACATTTCTGCTGGTGAAAGGACAGACCAGGAAAAGAGCGAAAGCAGCAAGCAAGCTGATAAAGGAAAGCTGGCTGTAGACAAGTGACTGCCAGGCTGTGACAGGACTCCTGTCAGGACTCGTCATGCTCTCTGGGCTGGGGGACTGGCTTTGGCTGCCCCTACAACACTTCAGAAGCTTCCACCGAAGGCAGCTGGCCACCACACAGGCATTACACCCATTTTTATGGTGAGAACAGGGGAGCAATAAAGGTTCAGGAGCTCAGCCAATGTCACTCTAAGCCATCGGAACATGGCAGTCTTGATGCCCCCCACCAACTCATGCCAGTACCTCTCTCCACCACTACAGAAATCATGGCTGTCAGCTGGGTGCTGCGACTTGGGCACAGCATCAGAGCCAAGACCCATCTCCACAACTGCCTTCCACGGGTAAAAGAAGCAGCACATGCTCTGCTAACACCAAGAAATGACAATAGCTTGAAATTAACTCAGAGCTCTATTGGAGAATGCTCAGTTGAAGAACTGCAGATGTTAACTATTAGGAAGAGTGACATTTATTTAAGAGATGTAGATGCAAAACACTGGAGTATCAGAACGAGTCTAGGGCTACACTGTGAGAGCGGGTGCTACACTGCCATGCTCTCCGCACAAGGCAGCGCCACAGAATCTTTTGCTGGGAGGAAGCTGAAGAGGAGCGCGGCCGGAGACTCCCACGCCTGAAGCAAGCCCCGTCCGCGCCAGGCCGGACTCCGGGGCCGGGCACGGCGCCTGCGAGGGCCGAGCGGCGGCGGCCCGTCCCGCCCGGGCCGGGGGAAGGACAGCTCTGCCGGGTTCCGGCGGAAGGGGCGGGCGGCGGCGGCAGCGTGGGAGCGCCATGGGCCGCAAGAAGAACAAGAAGGGTTCTGCCCGCGAGGGGCGGCTGGTGGTGACTTTCGACGAGAAGCAGCGGAGGTGAGGCCGGGCGGGCCCCGGGCGCGGGCGGGGAGGGAGGGAGGGAGGGCAGCCCCCGGTGGCTGAAAGCCGAGCGGGCCCCGGGCCCGGGCGGGGACCGAGGGCAGCCCCCGGTGGCTGAAAGCCGGGCCGTTCTGTGTTGTCGGCGGCAGGGAGTACCTGACCGGCTTCCACAAGCGGAAGGTGGAGCGGAGGAAGGCGGCGCTGGAGGAGATCAAACGGAAGCTGAAGAAAGAGCAGAATAAAATTAAAGAGGAGGTGAGGGAAGGGTCTCGTGTCCCCCCTCGCCAGGGCGGGCCGTGAGCGGGGCCGGAGGGGCGGGCAGAGGCGCCCCATGACCTGTTTGTGTTCCTCAGCGGCACCAGGAGTATCTGAAGATGCTGAGCGAGAGAGAAGAGGCGCTCGGTACGTGCTGGGCGCTCGGTGGGGAGGGAGGTGGGCGCCCGTGCTCCGGCAGCCTTGGGTGGGTGTTGAGGGCTGGGACAGGGATGCTCACACGCTATCCCACAGCAACAGCTGCTCGGGCCTGTCGTGTTCCCCAGACAAGCTGGGCAGCAATCTGAGCAGTGACCCCGCAGCCCTCTGTCCCGGCAGTCATGGGGGTTGTACAGAAAGGAAGGAGCAGGAGGACATCTCCAAGGTGTCACCAGGTCCCCTCAGTGGGGAGGAGGAGCTTGCCCTCCAGGCTCCAGTGCCAAGCCCCTCTGCCCTTTATCCCTGCATGCCAAGGCCGGGCGTCAGCCCAGCCCAGCGTGGTGCATCAGAAATGGGTGAATTTATCCTGTGAAAAGTTGGGCACTTTGTAGTGTAGGATTTCTTGTGTTCCCAGAGGAGGCTGATGAGCTGGAGCACTTGGTGACATCGCGGACGGAGTCTGTGAACATCGACCACCCAAACCACATCGTAACAGTGACCACCATCAGCGACCTGGACCTCTCGGGGGCACGCCAGCTGGGACTGACCAGCCCCGTGGTAAAGCCTCTTGCTACTTCTCTGTATCACCTGTACACACTCCTGGGGCTGGTGAGGTGGGGCTGGTGGTCCCTGAGTATGTCCAAGGCCTTGCAGCTGGCTGGGAACAGGGATGAAGAGGGAAACTCATAACTTTTCTATTTTTCCACAATTTAAACTGGGCCTCTAAAGAGAAGAAAATGTTCTGTATGAATGGCTCACTCCACACCTCTCTGGAACCCTTTGCTGGTCCAGAGTGACCCTGGTTAAATGAAAAGTGTTACTGGACTTGATTGCAACAGTGTAATACTTTAAAAGCTGATACAAGACAAGCAGCAAGATTTCAGACTTTGCCAAATGGTCCGTCCTTGACCTCTTCACTGTGTCCTGTTCAGAAATATTACTGTTAGCATGAGGAGGCATTTTTCTCTCCCTAATCCCGTGCTTGGACCACAAATAAGGAAACCATTCAGTTCTGGTTATGGTCACTTTTATTCTCAAAATACATTGTAACTAAGAGCTTGTATTTGTTTCTTAGAGACTCTCAGGTGTTGGTTGTGCTTATATTTTTAAGGTCATCTAATCTGAAAGTCCACTCAGAGATGTCTTGGTAGTAATTTAAGCAAAAGCCAAGACCTTTGGTTCATTCAAGTTTAAACTTCAATCACATGGCCATTAAGATCATGCTGAAGTTTTTGGATCTTGGGGTGGATTACTGTAGCACATCTCTAGTTGTGCCCTTCTGTGGGACTGTGACAGGAAACCTTGGCATTTGGACAGTAAGGGGTGCGGAGAATTAAGAAATCTTCATCTGTGACTAGTTACTTCACAAAACAGGATGAAACCAAGAAGGCAGTGGAAACACCAGAATCACAAAAGTGCTTTCTTGTTAAGGGAAAAACGGATGGATCCGAAGAAGAGAAAGGGGAAGAGGTGGTGAACAAGCCTGTGAGAACAATGCCTAAGAAGTCCAGAAACCCCTTCCTGTCTGAAAAGTACGTACAGATTGCTCCGTGCCTCTGGAAGTTGATGGCGATGCTGGGTTCCGGGACGCCCGGTGCGGCCCGGTGCGGTGCAGCGCGGGCCGGGCCGGCAGGGGGCGCTGGCGGAGCGCGGCCCGCCCGCTGAGCTGCGCTGCGCCGAGCCGAGCTGCGCTGAGCTGCCCTGAGCTGCGCTGAGCTGCGCCGAGCTGCCCTGAGCTGAGCTGCGCTGCGCCGAGCCAAGCTGCGCTGCGCTGAGCTGAGCTGAGCTGAGCTGCGCTGAGCTGAGCTGCGCCGCGCTGAGCCGAGCTGCGCCGCGCTGAGCTGCCCTGAGCTGCGCTGAGCTGAGCTGCGCTGAGCTGAGCTGCGCTGAGCTGAGCTGAGCTGCGCTGCCCTGAGCTGCGCTGAGCTGAGCTGCCCTGAGCTGCGCCGCGCCGAGCTGCACTGAGCCGAGCTGCGCTGAGCCGAGCTGCGCTGCGCTGAGCTGCACTGAGCCGAGCTGCGCTGAGCCGAGCTGCCCTGAGCCGAGCTGCGCCGAGCCGAGCTGCGCTGCGCTGAGCTGCACTGAGCCGAGCTGCGCTGCGCTGAGCTGCACTGAGCCGAGCTGCGCTGCCGCCGCCCCGCTGAGCGGGCTGCGCTCCATCCACACCTCCCACCCCTCCTTCACCGCCGCGCGCTCAGCAGTGAGCAGAGCTTGTCTCTAGGGTTGAAGGTCAGAGGTTTCTAAAGCTGAAAGCTAAGGCATTCTCCGCATTTTTCAGTGGCCAGGTTTTACAGCTGCTTTGAGGGTGTGGAGGGAGAGTTGCTTCAACTCTGGGCAGCACAATGCTCACAACGTTAATTTTTGTTGTCACTGCACATGGAGAGTTGCAGGTTTCCTGCAGCTTAGAGTCCCTCTGGGTCTTGCTGTGTCTGGCATCCATTCCTGCTGGGCCACACAGAGCTCTCCAGATATTGTGGTGGTGTCGCCTTGCTTCTGCAGGCTTTGGTCCCCAAACACTTTTCTCTTTCTGCCCTGCACAGAATCTCTTCTCTTACTGCCACGCTGCACATGCACAGCCAGAAGAAGACAAAAAGAAAGAGATCCCAACGCGGGCAAGGCCCACGTAAGAAAATCCAGAAGTCCTGCACAGGGCGAACCACCAAGACACAGCGTCGGAGGCTGACTGGCAAAATGGGCCGTGACCAGGATTAACAGAGAATCTAATGTTCAGACCACCACCTGGGACAGTGCTCCACATCTGGCCTGCTGCTCTTTGGGACCCTGTCATTGAGGGCAAGCACCTTGCTTACATGGCATTCTGACTAGCCATTAACCCAGGCCAGTTCAGCCTTTCTGTAGCCTCCTGAGCACTGGCAAGGGTGGCTAGACACTCTACCCATTTCTTTTTGCAGTGATCTCCAGCTGAGTGTCTGGGTACCACAGAATCTTAAAAACTTCTGCTGAAGGTTGTGTTCTCTATTTGGCATAACCCTTCTGTCCTTGGCCCCCCCTTTCAGAGCTGATACTTGGCTTTATCAAAGAAGGGGATCTGGGGCAGAGTGCAACAGGCACATCGTTGTCAGGGCAATTTGAGAGACTTGGGAGAGCTCTGCTTGCACTCCTGCATCAGTGCCCTGGCATTTCTGCTGTGCAGTAAATCCTTTTTCCATGGAGACGTGGTGTCATCTTGTCTTCTGTGTTACTTCACCACACAACACAGTGCCACACCTGAATGCAGGGGTACTTTTTGTTTGGTACTTGTGCCAGGTGAAATTGGGTAACTTTGTGAATAAATTTGAAGTCATTTTGCTAAGAAAAAAAATAAATCTGTGACTTATTTGAAGCATAGTGGGGGCTATGCTAACGCCAGTACCAACTGGAGAGTGGGGGAGGTAATTCCTGGTGTTTAAAGGATATTGAAATCCACTGGTGCTTGGAAAATGGAATAGCTAGGAGCTATTTCTGTGGCAAGGCAGAGCCAGCTAGAGCAGGAATGGCTCATTCCATTGTCTGCTGAATATGCCGATCGTAACTGCGATAGCTCAGGGGAGTATGACATGCCCTAATGCCCTTGCTGTGTGTGTGTGGCCCTCTCCGGGTGGGAGTGGCACGGGCTGCCCTTGTCCTTTACCTCAGGGTTGCTGCAGTTATTAGCAGCTAATTGCCTTTCTTCTTAGGACCTCAGTGTATGTTTTTTACTGCGGTTGCCCTCAGCAGGGGAAGAAAAAAAATTGTATGGTTGGGATTTAGGAACATCCGTGGCAAAACTGTGAGTGAATCCTCTGAGGAGGAGAGTGAGCCCAGGCAGTATGCTGGCCTCTGTCCTGGAGTATTCTGCCTCTGTCAGCCAAGCCTCCTCCCATGCCATGTGTGCACTGAAAAGGAAATGACAAAGAAAGAAAAGGCCTGTGTGTCCAAAACCCACACCAGAAAAATTTGCAACCCAGGAATGGGCAAGTAAATAGATTCCTCATGCCAGAAATGGGAGGGAAAAGAGTAAAGCAGTGCCTGAGGCTGCATGGAGGAACATCAGAACAATGCTGACGGCCACCATCCGCTAAAGTGAACGGCACCAGCCTGATGTATCTCTGCATCGTTCCTTGCAGGGTGTGCACACAGAGCTGTTCTCCACAGTGTGTTAAGGGGGAGGGTGTGACCTCAGCACTGACAGCAGCAGCACAATTTCTGCTAGAGGGAGGCTTCTGGAGGGAGCCAGGCAACGCACGACACACGTGTTGTGGTAAGGAATGGGGTCCTCTTGCACTTCCCTTTCCCTTCTGAAGAAGGTAATTGCTGAGGAAGTGGGCACCTTATCACTGGTGTCTTGTATGCTTGGATTCAGAGTCCCACCCTGGGCTGAGTTCTTGAGCACTAACACAGAATAAACTCAGTCACATTATTAAGGTGTGTGTGTGTGGTTTTCTCACCTCACCTTTTAATGCTGTCTTAAAGACCACTCCAGAAAGGTCATGGGATTTGATGGGTGAGCTTACCTATCCACCTGTCTCACCTGGGGTTCTTGGGTGTTTCAAAGCTGCAAAAACACAACCCAGGCAAGACCAAAAGTGTTACGCTGAACTGGATCTCAGCCAAAGTATCCAAGAGGTCCTGTGTGTGGAGTATAAATTATTTCTTGTTCTGGTTTGGGAGTTACATGCTCTAGAGCATTCTGTTCTTGGTGGGTTTGAGAGGGATGAAGGCAATAAGGAGAGGGAAGTTCTGTTTGGAGAGGCGTATCACACCGAGGGCACTGCAGCTCAAAGCTGGAGGACAGGGTGATATCCTTGGTCTGGATCATGCAGCAGCTTTCCCTTCCTTCCAGGACGTAGTGCCTTGTGGAGTGACTGTGGGCAGAAGGTGACCTGTATGCTTCCTCACCCGAGGAGTTTGCTCTGGAGCTGGGATGGCCACTGTAAAAGAAATGGACTATCTGAGAAATCTGCTGGAGTGTGGAATGTGGCTCAGTTCCCTTCCCCAGGTGTAGGCAGCCTGGCATTGTAGCTGGGACAGAGCTGGATGACCTCATTGTATTCCGGATGAGGTGCTAAGAGTGGCTTCAGTTTTGTCATTTTGCTGCCAGGTGATCTAGAAGAATCTCACTTTTAGTTTGCTGTTTCCCTGGCCTAGTAACATTTTTGACACCTTTCTCAAGTGTCACCTGAAGTCTCCAACAGACCCTTCCACACTGAAATCTTTCAGTTCCTGCTAGAAAATGAGTTTTAAAAAAAAAAAAATATGGAAAAACTGAGAACTGAGAACAGAGCTGTTATTTCCTATGCAGCATTAACCATCAGGATTGTTCACTACACTATTGATTTCTCCATTTGATTGATTAAAGCTTTATTCTGTAATGTGAATTACTGACTCAGCCCTAGTCTGCTGCTTTTGTTATGCACAGAGTATACAGTCAGGCTACCCCTGGATATATTGAAGTGAGGATATGAGTTTTTGCACACAAGTCAGTGAGTGAAGAGTTTGCCAGACATGTCACAGTTCATACCAGACTCTGACTTAAAATTCTTCTTTGCTGCTTCCAGTTGTTTTCAAGATGGGTTTGAGCATTTTGGGGTTTCTTCCTCCCCTTAGCTGCTCAGGAGGAGGCTGCTTCCAAATGTAAGGTACTTGAAAAATATAAGGTACTTGCAAAAATGAACATGCTAGTGCAGTTGCTGCTCGGTAAAGGAAAAGCAGAGACCAGCAGCTCCCTGTGAAGCCCCTTTTCCACAGGCGTTTCACGTGTGGCTTTGCAGAGAGGTCACATCGGGCACCTGCACATTGCTGTGCACGTGCCCCAGGCTGGCAGAGACATGCAGGGCTTTGACATGGACTGCCACACTGGGACTGCCATGCCTGATGGCTTTCACTGGCTAGGCTGCAGCTACGCACACGTGCACATACAAAAATATAATTGGGATTACAGAGGATCAAAAGCAGACTGGGAGCCAAAAAGATCAGACAGTTGGGGGGAAATTGGAGCACAGCAAAAGGGAGGAATGGGAGTGTGTGCATGAGCTGTGTGATAATCAGTGCACTGTAGTTATTGCTTTTGTCGTGTATCAAGCTCAAGGCTGTACTCAGTACAGTCACACCGCTGCTTCCAGCACTGTGTTCCAGAAATGAACTCGAGGAAAAAAATTACTGGGAGAGTGATGAGAACTTTCAGGGATTAAAAGGGAGCTGAATAATGGGTTGTGTGAGGTAGGTAGGTTTGAGGGGTGGATTGCAGACTGCCCCTAATGAATGAACAAAACGTGAAATTGAATTTTTTGTAACTGTTACCAGCATCGGGAAGAGAAGGAGTTTGAATTGTAGAAGGAGCAGTGGAGGACAGATTTTAAGGGCGTTCTGCTAGAAATAGCGAGGGTCAGGCAGGCAGGGCTTGTTCTTGGTAGGTAAAGCCCACGTTAGTCAAATCTCTCTGAGTGCTGTGGGCGGGCATGACCCCCTGTTGGAGCTGTGCTGGGACACGGTGGCGTTTGGCATCTGTTTCAGCTTGGGGATAACTAACTCTTGGGGTGCTGCCCCGGAGGAGCAGCGGGCAGCCCCTGGGCAGGCGGTGGGGCGGTCCCTGGGGCGGGCAGAGGCCGAGCCTCAGCGCGGTGCCGGTGCCGGTGCCGCTGCCGGTGCCCGGGCCCGGCCCCGCCGCTCGCCCGCTGCCCGCGACACGTGGGAGCCCGCGCCGGGGGCGCCATGGCCGCGCGCCGCCGCCGCCCAATCAGGAGGCGGTATTCAAATCGCTGCCCGGCGGCGACCAATCAGAGGGGAAGGGGCGGGGCCGCGCGCCCCGCCGTTCCCACGGCGAGCTTCATTGAGGGGGGAGCGCGGCGGGCGGCGACGTGCCGGGAGCCGTGGGGAAGCCGAGGTACTGGGGATACTGGGAGCTACTGGGAGCACTGAGCACGACCGGCTGCATGCATGCCAGAGGCCCTGGGGGTCGCAGCGTTATCCTGACAGCAGGCCCCAAGGGATGTGGGGAGTGATGATTTGCCCATCAGGCCGTGGGGTACCAGGGGTTCCAGCCACGGGTGGCAGTCCATGGGCAGTGGCGGGCAGCGATGATGGCGTGTTTTGTGCTGCATCCCTCGCAGGGGAGTGCTTAGGCTCCTCTCAAGCATTTTGTGTGAACAAGTCAAGCAAACATGCCCCAGTGTGAGGAAGGATGCTGCAAGGCTGGCAGCTAGTGCAACTTGCTGAACTAAAAATGGGTGCACTGACAAACAAAAATTGTAGCTTTGTTTTGGCAGTGACGTTTGGCCTTTGTTGTTTTGAGGAGCAGCCGTAGCCTTGATCAGCTGCTCTGACTCAAATGTCCATGTTTACGGCACCAGTGGCATGTTCACCTCTCAGATGCTGGTCTGATTTCCTGTCCTTCTGTTGGTGCCCCCTCCAGGAAAATTAGGCAGAACCCTCCCAGCTCAGATCACATTCTCAAATCTGAGGACTCACTCTCAAATCTTGCAGGACAGAGGAGGTGATGGTGGGCAGGATGCTTGCAAGAAAACAGAAGAGAAATGTGGATCCCAGCTGTCGTGCTAACAATGCTTGTTACCCTTCAGTTTTGCAGTCCGCTGTCCTACAGGTCTGAAAATTTTAGCAGGATTAACAAGAGTCTCAGTGGGTTTCCAAATTTCCTAAGCTGCTTAGAGCCATCCCTTTATGACCAACATAATTAAGAAGAAAGGTTTAGTTTTTGTGGTTTTTAAGGGAGAAAGAACATTTCCATCAAACAAAATAGCAGGACATGTGCATCATTCCCTCTGTTCACAAGGACTGCCAAACAGAGGAGAGTCAGCAGTCATTTCAGAGAGCAGTGCCCCTTCTAAAAGAGGTCTCTGCTAGAGACATTCTTTTATTACCTGTATTTCTATGGTATGGATCACCTTGTACCTGGGTTCCCTTTGATTCCACTCTTGACAGTTGGGAGCAGCAAACTTCAGTCTGGAAATAACATTCCTGCTTCCACAGCTTCTTCTGCTGCTGTTCCTTCCTCCTTTTTCTCCTGGCTGGCCCCTGCCAGCAGCCCATCAGCCAAAGATCTTCGTCCCTGCTATGCACAATGTCTGGTTCAGTGGATGACGTGCCTTGCATGAACTTTGAAGCCAACATATTTGCAAAGAGCCTGTGCCAGCACTGTTTCCGAGCCGCAGGGGCTCACCAGCATGCTGTCCAGGTGAGCTCCTCCATCCCACCTGCAGGCTATGGACACTTCATTAAGGGCCTCTTTACTGGGACTGCACCTGCCTTTTTAGAGATAGAAATCCCTAAGACAAAGGCTCAGCCACGATTTCTAGATTTCTTGGTGGGGAAAATCTC